TACTTGGTGTCACATAGTGAGCCCAGGGGGTTGGAACCAGATGATCATTGTGGTCCTTTTCAACCCAGGCCATTCTAAGGTTCTATGATTCTATGATAAATGACAGAAATTCTCTGCGTCACGAGGTAGAATTTCCTAATGGTGAGCTCTAATGCTCCCTGCAGAAGCTCAGGACTTCATTTCTCAGAAGTCAAGGAAGCATCACGGTGAAAAAAAAGCCAGCATGGTGAGCCCAGGCTGATCTGACTTTGCAGCAGCACAGCCTTCGTGATGCAGCTCTTTGGGGCTCTGCAAACACCCTGCAAAAACTCCTTGCAGACAAGTTCCTTGTGTACCCAGCCAGGCTCAGCAGTGGAAAAAATACAGTGAGTTAATGGAGAGTAGAGCAAATGGTTGGGATCCCAGGTACTTCTCTGCAAGCACAGGCACAGAATGGAACATCATAAAAACATGGAATGGTTTGGATTGGAAGGGACCTCACAGATCTCCAAGCTCCAACCCCTCTGCTGCATGCAGGGCCAGCAACCTCCATATCTACTACTAGACCCCATCCCACCCTGCCTTGAACACCTCCAGGGAAATTATAAAATAGGGCTCAATGCTGTATTTACTGCAGAACAGCTGAGCTGCCTGGTGTTTATTTAACCCCTGAAGGCATGCTGGAGTGCAGGCAGCGGGCAGCAGGGCACACAGCAATGCTCGGACACCCAGGGCATCTTTGTGGTCCTTTCCAACCTTGGTGATTCTGCCATTCTACGACTTGCTGCTGGGCAGTGGACAACAGCACTGCTGGAGCACGTGTGTTTGGAGGAGAAGAGGAGCTACAGAGGTTCATTTTACACCTCCCAGGATCTTCAATTCCTCAGGTTAAAGCATAGGACCGGTCATAGCAGCGTTACCATGTCCAAGCTGCACTGGTTGGACTGGATCTCCATAACAAAGACACAGCCCTTAACAATGCAGATGATTTCTGAAGTGCTTCAAATACATCCTCCAGTCCCAACCTGAGCTCATCCCAAGGGTCACCAAGTGTCACAGCACTCCTCCTCTGCACAAAAGCCATCAATGAGCTCTTCCCATTCCCCTTCCATCTCTGCCAGACCCCGGATGGACCGAGCTGCTCACCGTGCTGTGCTGCCCCACCACTTCCCAGCACTCACTGCAAAGGTTCTGCTGCTGAGCCCATTGGGCAGGAAAGGAAACCAAACCTGCCCCACGTGTGGCTGCAGGTGGAGCAATGCAGCGTTGGGTGCTGGGAGCCCTGAGCTCGCCCAGGGAACTTTGTCTCAGCATCAGCAGCTCCGCAGTTCTGCACGTGAGGGGCTGAGAACACACACAGCTGATGCTGGACACCAAACTGGAACCTTTCAGCACAGAAAGCGTGGCCAACAAGAAGCAGGGGTTTGTGATGGGAGCGGCTCTGAAATGCTGAATGCCATCAGCTGTGGGGCTGGGATGGTGCTGACTGCGTCCTGCATCCCGCACAGAGGGATGGGGAGGAGGGGGGTGACAAACGGGACCTCCTGATGGCCCTGCTGGGATGTGACAGCTGCACTGGGTCACTCACAGCCCCTCCATGGACACAGAGCCCCTGAGGCCACGTGTGGGCAGCCTCCAAGCACAGCTCTGCTCATCACTGCTGTGCCCAAAGCGATCAGCTCCGGCAGCTGCCCCACTCCCACTGCCCCACATCTCTGTGCTGGGGGTCCTGGCCTGGATGTAGAACCCCAGATGTGGCCTCTGGATGGAATTCCTGCTGAAGGGGGGGGTGGATCTTGTGTGAATGGCATTGCTGCAGGGGCAGTGCCTGCGCTGTGCTCGGGGCAGCAGGGAGGTTGCCCCATGCACAGAAGGAGGATGGGGTATTACAACCAAGAAATGTCTCTGATTACTCCAAGCCCAGGACTGCCAGCCTTGCACGTGCAGGGTTGTGGTGGTGTCCCTGGGCTGGGGAACACCGAGATGCTCCTGGCTGCCTCCCACCTCCATTCAGGGGCTGTCCCTGCTCTGTCCCATCCACAGCCCCAGGACAGCCTCTGAGTAAACTCTTCTGGGTCTGCCCTCATCCGTCTGGGTGCCAGATGCAGATGGAGATGGGATGGGATGGGATTGGAAGAGATGAGATGGGAATGGATGGGACAGGATGGGATGGGATCAGATTGTATAAGAAGGGATTGGAAGAGATGGGACAGGATGGGATGGGATGGGATGGGATGGGATGGGATGGGATAGCTTAAGATGGGATGAGATTGTATGGGTTGAGATGGAATTGGATAAGATGGAACAGGAAGGGACGGGACAGGATGGGATGGGATTGAATAGGACATATGGGATGGGATTGAGTAGGACGTATGAGATGGGACTGAATAGGACATATGGGATGGGATTGAGTAGGATATATGGGATGGGATTGAATAGGACGTATGGGATGGGATTGAATAGGACATATGGGATGGGATTGAATAGGACATATGGGATGGGACAGGATGGAATGGGAAGAGATGGAACAGGATGGGGTGGGATGGGATTGGATGGCACGGGATGAGACGGGACAGGATGGGATGGGAGGGAACGGGACAGGATGGGATGGGATGTGATGAAGGAGTGGCTCCCCAAACCTGGGCTGTGACACACCTACGGGCAATCCCAGCCTCCAGCACTGTGCTGGGCTCTCCCCACCCTCTGCAGCACTGAGTGCGGCTCCTCCAGGGATCGCCAGTCTGTGCCTCACTTCAATGCTCCTTCCCCCTGCAGGGGCTCCGCTGCCTTCACTCCCTCCCTTCTCCCATCATCGAGAGACACCGCAGCTTTGTGACCCGAATGAAGTGTGAGCAGCAGTGACACAGGGTGTCGGCGCTGTGTTACAAACCCAAAGGGTTGGGGACGTGGGGTGACCCCACTCAGTCCCACTGTGAACTCTCCAGCACTGCCCACCCCGTCCCCCGCCCTCCCCTCCAGCCCTGGCACACAAAGGAAGACACAGAGCCTGAGAAAATAAAAAAAGGCAGAAATAGGAGGAAATTTACCCCACGTCTGCCCCAACCTCATTGCTGCCAGTCTGATCCAGCAAAGAAACGGATGCCATTTTGAGGGCTGAAGTTTCACTCCGTGTTGCACAGAGTGGTGAGGGCAGCACATGGACACACCTGGCACACACACGTGTATGGCACACACACATGTATGGCACACACACACGTATGGCACGCACACATGTATGGCACACGCACACACGTATGGCACACACATGTCTGGCACACACACACATATGGCACACACACACGTATAGCTCACACACACATGTATGGCACACACACACTTGGCACACACACACACGTATGGCTCATGCACATGTATGGCATACAAATATGTATGGCACACACACACACATATAGCACACACACACAAGTATGGTACACACACAAGTATGGCACACACACGTCTGGCACACACACATCTGGCACATACATGTATGGCACACACACATATGTCACACACACGTATGGCACACATACAAGTATGGCACACATACAGAAGTCACACACATGTATGGCACACACACGTATGGCACACACACACACACGTATGGCACACACACATATGGCACACAATGAAGTATGGCACACACATGTCTGGCACATGCATGTATAGAACAAACACATGGCACACATACACGTATGGCACACACACACAGGTCACACACATGTGTGTCACACACATACGTGTGTCACACACATATATGGCATACATACATGTCACACACGCATGTCACACACACATATGGCACACACACATCACACACGCGTGTCACACACACATATGGCTCACACACACATGTATGGCACACACACATATGGCGCACACACACACATGTCACACACAGATATGGCACACACACGTATGGCGCACACACACACATGGCACACACACACGTATGGCACACACACACATGTATGGCACAGACACAGGTATGACACACGTCACACACATACAACACACA